GCCGGGTGGCACCGGGCTGTGGGGGGAGCCGGACTAGACCCTTTAACCTTGGACCCAAAGATGCTGGCAGAGCCCGGATGTTGCCATGGGGAAGTCCGCACACAGTGAAAGCAAAAGTGAAAACACCCCAGACCTAGCTTGGGCTCAGTGGGCGCCGTCCTAGGTGCCCCAGGCAGGATCCGAGCAGAGAAGGAAGGTAGGTGTTTTGTTTTTTTGGGGTTTGAACTCAGGGCTTTGCATTTGCAAAGCAGGCGCTCTATCCCTTGAGCTACACCTCCAGTCCATTTTGCTATGCTTATTTTGGAGAACTGTTTGCCCGGGCTGGCCTCGAACCTCGATCTCCCCCTCCAGCACCACACACACAACCCCCATCTCAGCCTCCCAAATAGCTAGGGTTACGGGGTGGGTTTTTGTTTTTTCTTAAGTAGTAAGCAAAAAGCCCCAGGAAGTGAGCTGTGCGTCTGTGTGAATGGCTTCCAGACACAGCAATTCATTATTTGAATGGTGAACTTACAGAAGCAGTTATGGGGAGGGGACGCACGCTCACAAAAAGGTCTAGGAGGAAACGGGATTTAGCAAGGATCTACCAAGCCCAGCAGACCTCCGAACTCTGTCCTGTGTGCTGGACATGGTCTCTGCCTTTGCTGTTATCACTGGACAGGCCGTAACGTCCATCCAGAGGGTCACAGTACTAGGGTTGTTCACATTTCTGTAACTCACCTGGCGGAGGGTGGAAATGTAAGACGTGCCCAGGCCAGGAAAGTGTGTTTAACCTTAATACTTTAGATAGGAAAACAGTCCCAGAATTAGACCTGCTGTTAGTATTGCTGTGATGCACAAAATTAAGCTGAATGTTTTGACACTGGATTTTTTCCTGATTAAGAATTAATGCTGAGGGGGTGGGGGCAGGGGGAGAAATGACCCAAGCCTTGTATGCACATATGAATAATAAAACAATAAAAATTTTTTTTAAAAATGGGGTTGAAAAAGAATATATTATAATAGATTCCATTGAAACCTGGAGATCACTAGAGTTGAAAACTTAATATTCCAATAAAGTGGAAAAAAAAATGCTGAAAAGTATTAGTTTGCATCAGTTTTAACATTGGTCAAGAAGCCATTCATTTTTTTCCCATTTAACTATTACTCTTACCTTTTTTTGTGGGCTGGGATTTGAACTCAGGTCCTATACCTTGAGCCACTCCACCAGTCCTTTTTTGTAAAGGGTTTTTTTTGGAGATAGGGTCTCTCGAACTATTTGCTAAGGCTGGCCTTGAACCGCAGTCCTCCTGATTTCTGCCTCCTGAATAGCTATAAACATTTCTCTATTAGCTGGGTAAAAATTAAGTAGAAAGAATTTAAGAATATATTTGTTTGGTCTGGCAGAATGGCTCAAGTGGTAGAGCGCCTGCCTAGTGAGTTCAAACCCTAGTCCTGGCCAAAAAAAAAAAGGAACCAAGAATATTTGCTCACAAAACTATTCATACTATCATTTGCTTTTATTTTTCTTTTTCTGGAGGTAAGAAAACTTCTTGTTGACCTGGGACATCAGCAGGCCGACTTGCTGGGGAAGTACTTGATGACAACTCTAGAATGTCTTGTGAGCGTTTAAAAACGGAGCACAGCCTCACCAAAGCTCTACAGCCAGAAAAGTCACGCAGCAGTGTCATGAAAAATAAGGGCAACTGCTCTTAATGTTGGCTGTCTCTCTGGGTCCTTTTCTCTGTGCACTTAGAGCCTGGTTGAGGTTAAAGTTTGTGCTCTGCTTTCCCCTGATTAATATTGCAAAGGTCATCCTAACACCAAACAGTCTTCAGAACACAGTAACATCCTGCCGGGAGGAACTTCACCATTGTTTAGATGGAGGACAGTAACGTTTTCATATTAATCAACACTTAAAGTTGGGAACATTTGGTTTTTTTAGTGTCATTTGGTATGATTTCATAACTAATGTGCAGACTCGAGCTTTATTTACATTTGCCCTCTAGATTCTTCAAGAACATCAAGAAGCCACCACCATGGTAGCTTTAATGAAGGTTTACCAAGAGGAAGATGAGGCGTATCAGGAGTTAGTCACCAAGGCAACTGCGTTCTACCAGTGTTTACTGCAGCCATTCAGGGATGTGCGGGAAGTTGCAACTTTATGTAAGCTTGATGTTCTGGTATGTTTCCTTGCATTTATACTGTATCAGATTTACTATCTATTAGATTTACTATTATTCTTTAGTCACCTTTTGGCAGTATGGGATTTGAACTCAGGGCCTTCCACTTGCTAGGCGGGTGCATTTTCACTTGTGCCACACCCCCAAGCCCCTTTTTTACTCGTTATTTTTGAACAGGGTCTTGTGTTTATGCCCTACAGACCTGGAACAGGATCCTCCTATTTAACCCATTTATGCCTCCCTGTAGCTGGGAAGACAGGCACGCACTGCCTTGCCTAGTTTGTTTCTTATGGGGTCTCTCCAGTATTCCACCCCCCAATTCTGATCCTCCGAATCTCTGCCTCCCTGTGAGCCATCGTGCCCAACTCTTTAGTCACCTTTACGGTTCAGTCTGAATTTTGTGTTGTGGTACTTGACATGTCGCCTGAAAGCTGACATTTCAGTGCTCAGCAACACAGGCCACATTTAAACCGCCATGCTTCGTTGTTAGTAGAGGACTGCAAAGGCATCCTGTAGGGAAAGTCACCTCAGAAACTCAGCATGAAAGCAGCTGTTCCTCCTCAGTGCCCCAGCGTCCAGCTTAGCCCCTTCCTGCTCATTGAGAGGCTGCTGCAGGGCTGAGCAGTAGTGATAAAAGCTGTTAAAACAGCCCACAGGGCCTGTTTCCTTTCAGTTCAGATGATGCGACATTACTGTTACCTCTTCTCTTGTTAGAAGTCCCTGGATGAGGATGAGCTGGGTCCTAAGAGAGTAGCTGCCTTGCAGAAGGAAGCCGGAGAATGGAGCAGACAGGCTGAAGAAGCTGTTGTCTCTATTCAGGATCTCACTGTGAATTATTTCAAGGAAACAGTAAAAGCATTAGCAGGTGGTAATTAAATTCGCCTTTTATTCCAAAGATGTTAGAGTGCCTTTAAGCACCAGGGACTGTGTATTTGGGGTGCTGGGATTCAGTAGAAGGAAAAGTGTGAAAAGCCACTGCTGAGGGGTGAGAAGCCATTGTGTATCCACGTGGCACAGGGTCAGTAGCAGCGGGAGGAGAAGCCTGAGACTCCAAGAACCTAGGAGAACGTGAGTTGTGATGGGTGATCTGAGAAGCAGTGCTCGCCCGATACCGGAGGATGCGTGGAAGTTGAGAGGGCAGGAAGGTGGGGAGGAATCGCATTTGCCAAGGCTCTTTGGCTTGAGGGAGCTTGGCCAAGAGAAGGAAGTTGAAGAAAGCTGGTGGGCTGATCATAGAGTGCGGAGTATGTGGGAGGGAGGTGCTGGCAAGACATGAGGGGTCGGACCACGGAGGGGCTTTATCTTAAATCCTGGTTGTAATAGCCCCAAATAGGAAACAACTCTGTGCCTGTCAGACAGTTTGCTAAGACATAATACACTCAGGGTAAAAGTACATAGCTCAGTTCTGTCTTTTTAAATGAATGGTGAGAGCTCCCAGTATGTTAAGCAAAGCAAGCTAGATGTGAAGCAGAATGACTTTTTTTTGGGGGGGGGAGGTCAAACTGTCTAAGCTTGTTTATCTAGCGAGACACAGTAGTAGTCTGGACATATGTGTACCAACACATAAGATGCAGTTGTTCTAACTAGCAAGATCATGAGTAATTACTATGCTTTTGAAAATGGAACGCCTACAGTGTTATATCACTGACTATGTATTTGTGATAATCAAATTATTCTTTTTGTTCTGGGGTTTGAACTTGGGGCCTTACACTTCCTAAGCAGGTGCTCTACCATTTGAGCTGCTCCACTAGTCCTTTTATGTGTTGGGTATTATAGAAATAGGGTCTTTTGAACTATTTCCCTGGGTTGGCTTCGAACTGCAATCCTGATCTCTGCTTCCTGAGTAGCTAGGATTACAGGTGTAAGTCACTGGCATCCACAATCCTGCCCTTTTTTAATGGGTTCTAATTTTATTTTTTTATTTATTATAATCCAATAGGAATGCAGAAACAAATGGAACAGGATGGGAAGAGATTTGGCCAGGCTGCCTGGGCCACAGCCACTCCCAGGTTAGAAAGACTCAAGCTCATGTTAGCTCGAGAGACCCTGCAGCTCATGAGAGCCAAGGAGCTGTGTTTAAATCACAAAAGAGCTGAAATTCAGAGAAAGGTAAGAAAGGTGAACGTAACTGCTTTACAAATAAGTAATTGTACATAGCTTCCTTTTTTGAAGGCATTGTTACTGAGCTTCCTTTCCTCACTGTTAACCTCCTGTTCTGGTGGAAGATAATTTTTTTTTATTCATTTACTAATGTGTGCATACATTGTTTGGGTCATTTCTCCACCCTGGCCCCCTCCCCCACACCCTACCCCCCTCCCCCCCCTCACTTCCAGGCAGAATCTGCTCTGCCCTTATCTTTAATTTTGTTGGAGAAAAGACACAAGCATAATAAGGAAGACAAAGTGTTTTTGCTAGTTGAGCTAAGGACAGCTATACAGAGAGATTCCTAACATTGCTTTCGTGTACACGTGTTATGACCCATGTTGATTCATCTCTAGCTGATCTTGACACTGGTTCCTGATCCCCTTCTCGTGATAACCTCTGTCGCTTTAAGGTTTCTGTATTAGCTCCTCTGGAGTGGGGACATCAAACGCTTTCATGTTTTGGGTTTTCTACCTATCCCCATATCTCCCGGATGTGCTCTCCCTTTATCATGTGATCCAAGTCCAACCACGTTGCTGCATTTGCCCTAGATCTAAAGTCCACATATGAGGGAGATCATACGATTTTTGGTCTTCTGAGCTTGACTGACTTCCCTCAGAATGATGTTCTCCAGTTCCATCCATTTACTTGCAAATGATAAGATTTCATTCTTCTTCATGGCTGAGTAAAATTCCACTGTGTACAAGTAC